GGGGGAGGCCAGGGTCTGAGGCTGGGACACTGGTGCTAATTGTAGTGGCATCATTTCTGTCTGTATGGGCCCAGCCCTTTGCCCCCCAGATGCCTTGGAGAGTCTTAGGTTGGTGGGACTGTAGTCTTAGAGCTGCTCAGTCTCCATTGAGTGGCATAACAGGCTCCATCGAGTGGGGACAGGGGTTGGTTGGGTCCTGGCTCTGGCATTGAGTGGGTTACAATGGGACCAGGGACTTATGGCTCCTGGTCTCTTGGGGAACCTGGCTGCAGATGTGCCTTTCAGTCTATTTCCCCCAGGATCACGGGCTCTCCCTTGCCTTTGGCTAGTGGACACTTCTGGCTTTGTACCAGGCCACCTGGCTCATCAGGGTCTGGCAGGGGCATGAGGCTGCCATGCCCAGTGCTGTCTGTGGCTAACTGGTGCATCTTCTCTCCACCTGCCAGGTTCACGGTGCTCTTCTCCCATGGCAATGCTGTGGACCTAGGCCAGATGAGCAGCTTCTACATCGGGCTGGGCACGCGCATCAACTGCAATATCTTCTCCTATGACTACTCGGGCTATGGTGTCAGCACGGGGAAACCCTCAGAGAAGAACCTTTATGCTGACATCGATGCTGCCTGGCAAGCGCTGAGGACACGGTAAGCCCTGCTCTGGTCCTGTTGACTGTTTCAGAGGCCCACGGCTGCAGTGTCGGGGTGGGAGGGGGAAGGGATGTTCTGCCTTTCCCACCTCAAACCCTAATTGTGTAGGGACAGTGCCTCTGCCCAGCTACAAGATGGCTGGGGTTGCAGGGGTTGTTTGTCAGCGGTGTGGGGAAAAGCAAAATTGTTGGGGGGAGCTCAGGGCTGTTGGTTGGGGTTCAAGGGCTCTGGCACATCCTTCAGTGCTGTTAGATGCTCCCACAGCTGCAGCCATGAGAGCTCCTGTGCTCTACTGGACCAGGGGCAGGGATAGTGTCCTGGGAGCCTGCTCTGGTGTGGGGTGAGTCTGTCCCAGACCCAGCACAGAGCACTGGCATGAGCTGCAGCAGCTCATACAACATTTAGCTCTGATGGTTGGCAGTTTCCACCCCAGTGCGTTCACTGCATAGGAGGGCCCTGTTTGCTCCACCCAGACAGGGCTCTGGGGTACCTGGTGGGGTTGTGCCTGCTCATGAAGGAAACTGCCCTAGCTCTAGCCAGTGCAGATAGCCGCAGCCCCTCACTTAGTGCTGCAGGCTGTCAGGACACCCTCGCCCCAGGCCTGCTCTTTTTCTGTGGGTCTGTCACTGTAAGATACTGCAGCCCTTGCCTCTGGGTTGCGGGGGATACGTCTCATCCTTTGCCCTACCCCTCCTGCTAAGATGAGGCAATGCTTGATTGTGGAGTTCCCAGATGCCAGGGTAATGGGCACATAGTGAGACATCAGCTATGCCCTGGCCGGGGGCTGTGTACTGCTCTAGCTATGTCAGCAGAGCGACATGGGGGAGCTGCGGAAGAGCAAGGGGGGAGGGGAAGGGAGGGGAAGCTGGCCTGCATGCTGGGGCCAGGAAATCCCGTGAGGCCCATGCTCTGGAAAACAGGAAACCTTGCTGGCCGAGGCAGCGCCGCACGGAAGGGCCTCATGGGGCTGGGAGCAGCTGGGAGCAGGATGGAGTGGGCTGAGCTAGTGTGTGGCACAGACAGGGGCTGGAAGCCCCCAGGGCACTCGTGGGGATGCAGCCTTCCCTGTGCAAGGAATCCAGGCCATTGCTGTGCCAAGGGTAGTGCCAGGGCTCAAAGGCCCTGAGGGCTGAGGAGCTTTTACTGGCTCCTTCATTGGCAGCCTCAGGGAGGAGACCTGGGCTGGGCAGGCCACAGAGGTTAAATGCCCCCACCTAGGGTTTACCTTGGGTCAGGGGGTGCAGGAGGGTCCCCATGGAGTATCCCATGTTGGATGTGGGCTGGGATTGAGGGACAAGGCAGTCCTGCTGATTGCAGCGCAAGGTTGGCAGAGGTGGCGAGATGCCTGCCCTGTCTCCCCTGGAGGCAGGTTCACCATCAGGTACCAATGGGCTTGGCAGGGTGCTCACTTCTTGGCTGGCACCTCAGCCCTGGACACAGGCAGTGGAGATGGCAGGTGAAGGTGGGGGCCGGGGTTCAGGGGATGCTGAAGGGGGCAGGGGACATCTGAGAGAGCAAACTCTTCTGGGTGAGTCCCGCTGCCTGGTCAGGAGTTGGGGAGCAGTTCTAGCTGCTTTGCCTGCCACGGACCCTCCTGAGAGAGATGGTGAGGCTGATGTGTGCATTAGCCCCCCAGGGCCAACAGGCTTGTGGAGGATGAGGCTCTGCAGACCCAGCTGCCTCAACTGAGCTAGTTTGAGTCCTGAGAGTGGTCAGGCCAGGAGGGCACACACTTCCCCATGCATTGTATAGGCTGGCCAGGTACCCCGAGCCCCTCCTCCACGCGCACACACACGCCTGTGCTGCGGTGCAGACGTCTTCCCGGGAGCCCTGGCACTGCTGTTGCCAGAAAGCCCCAGGAGGCCCAGGTGGCATGCGCCGTGCACTGCACACTGCCAGGGCAGTGTCACCAAGGCTTGGCGAGGGGGATTGTCCTCCCAGATGAAGGCAGTGAGTGGCAAGGGGCAGAGTGTGTCACATGGCTTGCATAGAAATGGCCAAATTCCATCTTCCCAGCCTGTGCCCCCAGCCTGCTCCCTTGGGAGGAGACGACAGCTGTGTTTCTAACACAGTCGACAGACAGGGCAACAAACAACGTGCCAGGCTGCCTTTGCCTGCTGCAAAGGATCCCCTGAGGCTTGTTTCTGCTCCTGCCTGGGTGCAGCACGGTCCAGCATTGCCCACAGGCATTAGGTGTTTGGATACAGTGCGGTCACTCTTAAGGGCCAATCCTGTTGCCACCACGATGCTGGGGGACTCCTGGGCTCGTGTGAGCAGATCGAAAAGCAGAAGGCAGGAGAGGAGGACACAAGGGACCGTTTGCATCTGTTTAATGGAGCCACTGTATCAGCCCCTGCCATGACTGTCACAGACAGGGGCCTGGATGGCAGTGTGAAATGGGCACACCCAGCAGTAGGGCACCCCCTCCACTCTGCCCAGGAGTTAGTGCCTGGGAGACCTAGGAAAGAGATAAGAATGGGAGGGGGGCACACATTGCCCCTGGCACTGCAGAGAGTCCTTGAAAGACACGGGGCAGCCAAGGAACTTGGGGGTGCAGGGTTGTACCAGGCGCTTGGCCAGTAGAAGCACAGAGCGTGCCCTGGAGCACTCAACTGAGAGCGGGGCCCGCAGGGCTGTTGTGCACGCAGTCCCTTGCAATGGAACAGGCAAAGTGTGGGGTGGGGAAACTGAGGCACAGGGAGGTGACGTGACTTGTGGCCTCCCTACACACTGCACCCCATAGCTTTCTTGCTGAGCCTTCTGGGAGGTGTTGGCTATGGGGCAGCCTCTGCCTTGCTCCTGGGTTCATGGCCCCCCACCAGCTATACCCTGCAGTCTCTGCAGCTGGTCCTGTCCCTGGGCTGGGCCGCCTGTCCGTGGCAGGGAAGGAGGGAGGCCTGCTGCTGGCTGCTCAGGGCCAGGCCCTGTCTGCTGGGCTGGCTCCTGCCCAAGGCAGCTGCGCTCAGCAGGTGACGCATCTCCCAGCACCATGGCAAGCCTTCCTGCTTGGGGGGGAAGCAGGACATATGTGGGGGATGGGCTGGTGCCTCTGGTTCAAGCCCAGTCTTGGGGAGCAGGCAATGGTACCATGGGTGGCTCCATTTTGGTGGCAAGAAATTCGGCTTAGACAGGACCCTGGCATAGACGAGCTTTCTGCCCCTGTGTGGCACCGTGTGGGCTGGATCTGTGTCACAGCTGCCCCCGTCACCTTGACGGGCCACGTCTCTGCTTGGCTCTGGGCCACCACCGCAGCAAGAGCGTGTCCTAGTGCTTCTGGGTGCTCCGCATGGCTCGCTGCAGCCACTGTGCTGCCAGAGCGTGAAGTGGCCCTGGCAGCCAGCAGACGGTGTTGGAGAGAGGGGGGAAGCCTTGCCCTGCTGGTAGGAGGGGGGCTGTGGGTCAGAGGGGCTGCGGGTGCTCTAGGTGTTGGTACACTATGCTCAGAAAGGCAGGAGGTGTCTATGCCAGGCCTTGGGTACTGTTAATTGAAACCACTTCAGTGGTGCTTGACAGGTCTGTAAGGTCTGCTTCTGCCTGTCGGCTCCAAGCTCCAGGCCTGGAATAGGAGCCACATCGCAGAGCGAGTCCTGTTGACGCGTGGGCAGAGGGGTGATTTGTCTTTCCTGCCTTGCTGTCCCGGATGCATGATAAGCCTCCCTCCTACTGGCGATCAAACCAGTGTGTCTCCAGGCCCAGGAAGGTGCTGATAAGGCTTCTGACATCAGAACGAGCCCCATGCTGTCTCTTGCCACCCCACCCCTTGCAGCTGTGCAGAGGGAGCCTGGAGCCAGGCAGATAACCCTGCCCTGCCCTGCCCTTGAGGGTGGGTATCTAGGGAGTGCAGGTGGCAGGAGTGGGGGTGGTAGCAGGCACCTGTGTGCTGGAGCATGGCTCTTCCAGACAATGCTGAAGTCCCAGGCTGCAGGGCACCACTGGGACAATGCTTGCGTGAGCCAGGACAGGGGGTACAGAGAGCTGGACTGCCAGGGAGCCCCCAGCCCAACAGCTCTTTGCAGCCTCTCCCTGCCTCAGCCCCCTTCCTCCCACTGCCACCTAGATCCCTGTTGCCTTTGCCCCCATGCCAGCAGGTCCCTCAGTACCTCCCCCTCCTGGTCCTTGTGGGAGCAGCCACCCCCTGCTCTAAGCCCCTTTCCGTCCCCTCCTTGCCATCCCCTGCCGGCAGTTTGACCCTTGGGTCTGTACCATGAGCCCCAGGTCACAGTGTGTACAGGGCTTGCTCAGACATACTGATCCCCCATGGCTGATGACCCCTGTGGCTGATTCATAAGCCTTCAGGGACCCCTGGCAGCTGCCCCTCCAGCCCAGCCATGAGAGTATAGGGACATCCATGCATCTGGAATGAGGTGGTGTCTCCTTGGGTGTTTGGTGTGGAGCCAGCTCCCTGCAGAAGGGACAGGAGCCAGATTTATTCCCCACTGGGGAATAAAACAATGGCCACAGCAGCCTTTGGCAAGGCCCGTTTGTTGGCTGGGCAGCGGATGTGCTTGCTAGCAGGAGGTGGGGGCGGTGAGGAAGGGGTGTATTCACCAGTGGCTGCAGGGTGGACCAGGATTGGGCCCTGGGGGGGTGGGAGGCAGCTGCAGGGAGAAGCGATGACTCAGTGCTTTGAGCTCGAGTCAGCATTTTGGACTGGCTCCCAGCTGGGGTGTGGTCTGTGGGCAGAGGTGCCCAGGGTGACACCTGCCAGCAGCTCTGGTTTAGGGCAAGGAAGGCAGAGCTCAGGCCTCATGGTGCAAGCGCTGGGCTGGGTGCAAGCTCTGATACTGGCTCCCTGGGTGACCTTGAAGATGTCCCTGCATCTCGGGGTCTCAGCTCCCCCCACTGAAGGCGGTCACCCTGCTTTCCTCTCCATGGGGAGCTGGGCAGCCTGGCTCCAGCTGGTGTTGCGTGGTCTTGGCTAGAGATGGAGACAGCCCGGAAGAGGGGGAGGGAAGGCGTCTATCCAGTGGGGGTGGGGCAGGGCTTCTGGGAGGAAACTGGTGGCCACAGCAGCTGTGCATCACGTGGGACTTCTGTATAGACAAGAGGAAGAAGGACCTGGGGACGATTATCCTGTATGGGTCTGTGGGTTGGGGGAGGGAATCACCTGGTGTGTCCTCTCTGGGAATCCCTGATGAGGCGGGGATCCTTTTGTCCTGCATGTCACTTCCCAGGATCTGCAGTGAGGCGGGTCCCATCTCCTGATGTGCCTCATGGGGTCTCTTCTGGGGGGTCCCATTGTCTAGTGTGTCATATATCAGGGTCCCCAGCAGGGTAGCGCCCTGAGCTGCTCCCAGTCAGACCCCTCAGACCATCTGGCCCCTCTTTTGGTCTGGGGGATGATGCCCTGTTGCTGTCAGGCCCTGGAGTGGCTGCTCTCGTGTCTCTGGGAGTTGTGTGTTGGGCTGGAGGGTGCCCTGCATTAACCCCTTGGGTTCCTTCCTTTCAGGTACGGGATCAGCCCGGAGAACATCATCCTGTACGGACAGAGCATTGGCACAGTGCCCACCGTGGACCTGGCTTCACGCTATGAGTGTGCCGCTGTCGTGCTGCACTCGCCCCTCACTTCGGGCATGAGGGTTGCCTTCCCGGACACTAAGAAGACCTACTGCTTTGACGCCTTCCCCAAGTGAGTGCCCGCTTGCTTCTCCAGCTGGGCACAGACACCAGCAGCCCACAGGGAGCTTGGCCTTGCAAGGGATCGTGGGTGCTCCTGAGTTCAGGCCCTGGTTTTGGTGACAGATGCCTGAGTTGCAGGCCTGATACTCCCATTGCCGCGGAAGTGCCACGGCAACTGTGTACCAGCATCTGGGTCTGCAGATTGGTATCCCCTGGCTGCCAGCTGTCCCCTGAGAGATCTTTTGGCCCCCCCTGAGGTGGGGAAGGTCCCAGCACCCTCCAACCCTCCCCTGTTCCCATGCCATTCCTGGCAGTGCAACCTCTCCCTAGGCCCAAGACCAGGCGAGATGTGGAGCAGAGACTTGCCGCTGCATCTCTCCAGACCCCTCTAGAACAACTCGGGGGAACCTGCCAGGAGCTGTTGCACAGCTGCAGTGCCCTGAGTTGGTCAAACCCTTTACCCCTCAGCCTGGGCCTTGGGAGCTTTAGGCGGGTGTGAATGGAGTCTCACAAGCCCCCTGGCCCAGGGGCCAGGAGCTGGGCCTGTCTTTGTTCCCTGCAGCATGTTCAGGACCAACAGCTGCCTCCCAGCAGTGGGGAGAGATCAAGATACCCAGTCTGTATCCACGCTGGTTAAGGAGCATCTCATTCTGCACCCAGTGGTGGGGGAGGGGGTGGCATGGTTGGTGTCCTGTCTGGCCACTCCAGGTGCCAGGTCTCCACTTACAGCTGGGGCAGCCTTCAGCACTCACCCAGCACACGGCTGGACTCAGACACCTTAGCAAGAGAGCTTAGCTGCACTGTCCACTGAACCCCATTTGCAGTGATGGAGGTGGGGCTGCCCTGGAGGTCCCGGGGCCTGCTCGGTCCTGCAGAACCAGTGTTGGGGGGGATAGCGTGCAAGGTGAAGGGGCTGGGGGTGCAGGGGTCTAACAGAAGAAGCAGTGGATTTGCCATCGCTACAAACCCTTAATTTCCGGCTGCGTGTGCCCTGGCTCTGCTGTGGGTTCTGGGGGGCGCTGGGCTTTGCCATGCAGCAGGTCTAGCCAAGTGAAGAGAGAGCCCTTCTCCACCCCCACCCAGCCTGTAGATCTCGGCATTTGAGGGGCCAGCTGTGAGAACAGTGTATTTAAACTTGTTAAAGGGGCATGTTCAGTCTGGAGTCACTGAGGGCCAGTAAAGACGAAACCTGGGGGCACGGCGTCAGCCAGGAGGGATTTACAGCCCAAGTCCTAGTGAGGGCAGTTGCTCTAATCTGCATGCCTTCCCCTCGCTTCAACATACTCTGGGCCATTTGCAATTGGTCGCTTCTGATCTTCCACCCAAGAAGTAGCTGCATTTCCGGGCTGCCCTGTAGTGCCAGGGCTGTGGTGCTGCCTGGCACCCCCTTGTGGCAGCAGGTGCCATTGCTGTGCAGGGTCCCTCACCGCAGGCTTATTTCTCTCCCCTGCAGCATCGAGAAGATTTCGAAGATCACTTCGCCTGTCCTCATCATCCACGGCACCGAGGACGAGGTCATCGACTTCTCGCATGGGCTGGCGCTATACGAGCGCTGCCCCAAGGCAGTGGAGCCCCTGTGGGTGGAGGGTGCGGGACACAACGACATTGAACTGTATAGCCAGTACCTTGAGCGCTTGCGCAAGTTCATCTCCCAGGAGCTGGCGAGCCAACGCAACTGAGCAGCCATCTCCGCCCCATGCTGAGCCAGGCGGTAGGGCACCGGCTCCTGGAGGTGCCATGAGCTCAGGCAGCCTCAGCTGGGGCCCAGACCGAACTGAGTAGCTGGAGAGAAGCTGCAGGTCCTTGAATGTACATTGTGTGTCTCATGACATCTTGGGCAAGTCCCATTTGATACAAGCACAGCGCCCTTGCTGGACCTCCCCTGCAAAGTGCATCCTGCCAACAGGGGTTCTGCACGGGAGCCTGGGGGACAGCAGGTGTAGAGGAGTTTTCTCCCCCCCATGGGTGTCTTGGGGGGCAGGGAAAAAGGACAAGGACCCATCCCTCCAACTCCTGCCCGAGTCGTCTCCTGAGCCTGCCCTGGAGCTGGCTGGGGGTTCCTGCAGCCTCAGCCCTCCGGGAATCACCTCCAGCTCTGACCCTACCGTGCAGCTGTTCTGACAATAGCAATAAGCACTGGGCAAGCTGCAGGTAAGAGAGCAGCACATCCCTGGCAGGATGCCTTGCCACTGGCT